TTGAGTAGTTCTGCCTTTTCTCTGTCCTCTGTTAGAATTTCTCCATCTCCCAGATTCTAAATCCAGCACTGAAACCACTAAACCACAGTGCCCCAAGATAGTCTTTCCTAACATTATTCCATCCACTAGGGTTAAGTTTGCTTTCAGGCATTCACATAATAATGTGGCATGGCTAGTCATTATGAAAATAGCACTGAAAATCACATAGAAAAGCAGAAAACAGCCTGGAGAAGGATGTTGACAAACTGGAGCATGTCCAGAGGAGGATAACCAAAATGGTGAAGGATCTAGAAACCATGCTCTATGAGGAGAGACCTAGGGAGCTAGGTATGTTTAGCCTGGAGAAGAGAAGGTTAAGAGGTGATATGGTAGCCCTGTTTAAGTATTGGAAGGAGTGTCACATTGAGGATGGAGCAAGCTTGTTTTCTGCTGCTCCAGAGACTAGGACAAAGAACAACGGGTGGAAGCTACAGGAAAAGAGATTCCACCTGAACATTAGGAGGAACATCCTGACAGTGAGAGCTGTTCAACAGTGGAACACACTCCCTCATGGTAGAGTCTCATTTTTTAGCAGTTTTTAAACAGAGGCTGGATGGCCATCTATCGGGGGCACTTTGATTGTGAATTGCTGCATGGTAGGGGGTTTGGACTGGGTGGCCCTTGTGGTCTCTTCCAACTCTATGATTCTAGGAGACAAGCTCCACATGCTCTTGGATGATCAACTGTTTGCTCAATGTTTAAAAAGCATTTCAGACACAATGAGAAAATGCCTTCTTCTGGGGTTCTTTTATGGTCCTGTATTTTGGAGAGTGTTCACAAGTCCATTGAATTCTTTGGAAGGCCCCTGAAGAAGGCCTTTTCTCTTTGTGGCCAAAACACATTGGGCTTTTTTAACACTGAATAAACAGTTGACCATTCTAGAGCACGTGGAACTTGTCTCCTCACTGTTTTCTACTGACTAGTCGTTAACAACACTTTTCTGCTGATGCAGGTCTTAATGATACCTAGGTCTGGCAAAAAATAAAATTAAAAATCATGATTCAGAATGTAGCGGTTGAGAGGGAGGCATACAAACCCATTAAGGAATTAGATGTGTTATGTCTCTATGGCTATCTGAACAATTGATCCATTTCCCAAATGTAGTTAGAAGTATGTCTTGTTTTGCTGTAAGTTAAATCAATTAGTCGTCCTTTAGTGGTCTTGGTATATCATCATTCTTTAACATATGGGGGGGAGGGGGGATCGAAGATTTCCTGTTCTATCTTCTTTTCCCCTCTGTTTGTAGCCTTTCACTATTACTTCAGTGTGTGATTTAAATATCTGCCCAACTTGCTGGTATCTGTCTAAAAATGAGGTGACCAAAACACAAGCCAGTGCTCTGGTTAAGGTTTAATCAGTGCTAATTGGAATGTGACTGGATCTCAGGCATATTATACATCTGTTAATACAAGCCAAAATGACAACTGCCTTAAAAAAAAAAAGCTTCACATAACATACTTCTACTCTAACAGGCAAAGTAATTAATAGATTTAAAAAACTGTAATTGATATTATTTGCTTCCTTCCTTACTTGTTTTATATCCCAGCTTTCCTCCTAAACTACAAATTAAGGTGACTTTTAACAAGATTAACTAAAAGATACAGTTAAAAGCATAGTATAAACACATTGTTGTGTGCCTTCAAGTAGTTTCTGACTTATGGCACAGGGGTCGCCTTACGCACAATTTGTTCAGAGAGAGTTTGCCTTTCCCTTCCTCTGAAGATGAGAGAGAGTGACTTGCCCAGGGTCACCCAATGGGTTTCAGTGGGTGAGCAGGGGTTCGAACCCTAATCTCCAGAGTCACAGTCCAATGTTAAACCACTTCACCATGCTGGCTTATTATATACACAATCAAATAATTTAAAATTAAACATTAAAATGCAGTTGAATTAAACACACACCAGGAAGGAAAGAACAGCACCAACATATTCTTCAGCTTTACCTCTTTTATGAAATGAATAATTACAGGAGTATCTGTGTGTGAACGCTTGTTTCCAAGTTCAATGCTAGATGTCTAAACCAAACTTTAGGTTTGTTTTTTGCGAAAACCCTGAGATCCACCAGATAGAGCATGGTTCAGAAAAGGTAGACTAAAAGAATTCTGACCCAAACATTTGGTTGGAGTACTTGAATTCAGTGAAGCTCACAGTCCTTCCAAACAGAAATTAAGATGTCATTATTAATAGCAGTTTAATTTAGTGACAATAGAGGAAGTCATTTGGTTGGTCCTATCCTTAAATAATTTGGAATCATTCAAAGATAAAGCCGTGTTACTGTAGAATCAGTATTTAGAGAGATCTTGTAACGCCTTTGAGACTAACTGAAATAAAGAAGTTGGTAACATGAGCTTTCATAGACTTAAGTCTACTTCCTCAGATGCATCTGAGGAAGCAGACTTAATGCATTGGAGGAAGTAGACTGCTGCCAACCTCTTAATTTCAGTTACTCAAGGTGCTACAAGACTAATTTGGAACCAGAAATCCTTGTTGATCTAAACACCTAGAGCAGGGGCTGGCAACCCACGCCCCCGGGCCGGTTTCGGCCCAGGTCGCCGGACTTACCGGCCCAGGCGGACCCCTGCCGCCGCCGTGTGCCGCCGCGTGCCGCCGCGTGTTTTTGCCTCTGTGCGCGCCGCAACTGCCATTTTGATTTCCAAAATGGCTTCCGTGATGCGTTTGCGCATGCACAGGAGTACTGCGCATGTGCAAGCGAGTCACGGCCGCCATTTTGTTCTCCAAAATGTGTCGCGGTCACCATTTTGGAATTCAAAATGGCGGCCGCGACATGTGCAGCAGCAGTGGCAGCAGTGACAGCGCGCGCACCGCCATTTCCCCTCCCCCTTCGGCCCGGCGGAGAGGAGGACTTCGGGGGAGCAGCGCAGGGCTCAAAAAGGTTGCCTACCCCTGACCTAGAGATCTAATACCCCTCCTTTCTTTCCTTATCCCCTCTCAATAGTCTGCCTTCCCCACAATATGGGGTACGTGGGTTACAGTACAAGCTAAAACAAAATAACTAAAACAGTGCATAGTACAGAAGTTTTATTTAAAAAAAAACATCCCAAACATTATTCAAAGCTGTTAGTCTGATATTAACAGCATGGTATTGTGATGAATGCAGGGCAGTTCAGGCTGTATAGCTTGCAATACTCATGGACATTATCAGTATCAACAAGATGGTTTGAAGACTTAAAGGTTTGTGGGAGAGTAGCTCAGATACTCACTTTAAATAACCTGTTTTCTGTTACATAACCATTGCTCCATTAGCTGCTTTGGGGAAAGAACAGTGCATTATCATGTCCTTTCCATTTACTGTAGTAGATGAATACTTGGAGCAGGTCCTCTTGTGGCACCAACATGTGGCACCACTGAGTCCTTTTGTGGCACACCAGGAAGCCTACCTGGCCCCGTCTTTTAATTTATTCTGCTGCCTGTCAGGTTAAAACATGGCTGTTTAGGGAAGAATGTAGAAATAACTGATGGGCTTTGTGTTTCCTTCTGCTTTTGGTGCGTAGATGTGTATTCTGTTGCTTTATATTGTTTTGATGGATAAATATTGGTTTGCGTTGCTGCTTTCCTTTATTTTTAATTGATGTTTAATTATTTCATTATTTTCTTTTTAACTGTTAAGCTTGTTGGTAATATTGAAACAAATGCATTTTGTTAACAGGAGATCCATCAGCACCAGGAAACCTAGTACAATTTCTAATCTGAAGGTTTTGAATAAATCACTGAGATCCCTTCCTGGGCTTGCTTTGGTTATTCCCACAAAACATATCATTACCATGGTTAGCGTCTGCTTGGATTTCTCAGTTTAAACTTGTGCTCTTTTAGCAGTATCTAACCATATAATTGCATCTCTCTTACTGCTGCATCTATTTCTGCAATAAGTAAGATATATTGCATTACTGTAGGTCAAAGGACTGCTTCCCCCCTTCCAAATGAATGCCATTTCTCCTGTGTGGGCCAGTGAGCAGCTCTTGGCACTCAGTTTTCATAAACACATTTATGGCTGATGCATCACAATTGGGAATTTCCTAGCTTTGGCACCCGTATGAGAATAATACCACTTCAAAGCCAATTAAGCAGAACAGTAGTTATCCCTTTCAAAATGTGATAGTAAAAAAAGAGTGACCATTTCATATACGAGAATAAGAGGAGCATTTTAGAAGGGATAGTTTTTGCTTTTTTTTTTTTCCTCTCCTGAATGGTTGACAATTAGTTAACTATTTGCAAGGCCTTATAGCAATTGTCAGGAAAATGTAGGTCAGCCTAGTAGAATGTATTAGCCCAATACACTGTCTCCATTTTATTATGAAGCTGCTGAGGAAGCAGTGATATACAGCACTGTCATTACAGATCTATTGTTACAAGGGTTCCACAGTCTTCTGTGCACTGCCATTAATTTATAGCAGTAAACAATATGTAGCTTTCTGACTGCACCAAAGCAGGATCTTTTAATGAGGTGGATGTTATTACCACAATAAATCAGAGCATTTGTGTAATGTATAATTCAATGTGTGTATTCCCTCTGTAACTTCTTTGAGTAAGCTGATAGTGTATCATTGTCAGAGCACAGTCTCATAGTTCTTTATTTCTAAGCCCCCCATCCCCCAGTTTGGTGACTTAAAAAAAAGCCTTCTTGGCAATAAAAAATGGTGTGGGTTGATAGTTGTCCTATTGCCAGGTTTCAGAACCAAGTGTAACAAAATAGAAGAGTTAAAAATCAATACTGTGCATTCTGTCTGTGTGGATCTCCACATGATTCCTTTTATTTCTTTTTTCAAAAGAGAATTAAATCAATCCTAATTGGTTTTAGCTTTATATTCAGTGAATGTAATTCTATAACTATTGATCTGTGCTGGTCTTACTCAGAAAATAATAAAAACAGGAGCAGTTAAGAGCATGTCTTTGAAAAGCTTCAGTGCCATACAAATACTGCATTATTTGTACTGCCACTGAAGTATAACTTATTTACAAATGGCCTAATGTCTCTTTTAAAGTAAAGCCAGGCATGGTTGAATGTCACCAAACATAAAAACGGATCTTTGACAAATACAGTATTAAGATCAGAATGAACATATTCCAATTCTTTCTTGGAATTCTTTCTTGGAATATGTTAGCTGCCTCAGATAAAACAAAGCAACCTTTTTGTAGCATAATAATAATAATAATAATAATAATAATAATAATAATTTCTATCCCACCCCTCTACTGAAGCAATCGGGGCGGCTTACAACAATAAAATCTCACAATAAATTTATTTATTTATTTCATTTTAAAGCCACCTTTCTCTCAGAACGGGACCCAAGGCAGCTCACAAGAGGGTGACCCTAAGGTGAACCTATCATGCGGTTTTCTTGGCAAATTTTTTCAGAAAGAGTTTTTATTATTCATATTGGAAGATTTACAGGGTGTTTTTTGTTGTTGTTTTTTGCCACAGTACATAGGAATACACATGAGAGGGGACAACAAAAACAAAAGGAAATGCCATTCTTTTGCTAAGTAACAAAATTAATTCTATTTAATTTTAAACATTTTTAGTTGGCTTAAATATTTGTAGTTCATTGTTGCACAAATTACAACGGGGAATTAGATTTCTTAAAATACTTCTGGTTCTCCTCCCTCCCCCCCTCCCCCAATTCAGCACTACTCCTCATTGTTGAATCAATTTATCAAGGAAAATTGTGCCACATTTTGCATAACTGTTGGACATATTGAATGGTTCTAGTCTGTATAGTGCTGGGAGCCACTGACAGATAGATAATCAAAATTTTAAGTTTTATTCCTAATATTTTTATGTTAAAGTGGCTTATTTTTTAATTTATTGTATCTTTTCCTTTATATTTCCAAAAGATTTGCAACATGCCACTTAATGTTAGCAAATGTGTACTAAAGTTAGATTGCTTTTGGAGTATGCTTTTAAATATAGAATCATAGAGCTGGAATCATAGGGGTGAAGCAAATGGCTGATAAAGAGCAGCCTCCAGCCGCAATCTGACCAGGACCTCAGTGACTGCAGGGCCCACTCCCAAAAGCAGCCCGCCATTGCAGATCCCAAGTAGCACCAGCCAGGAGTCGCTTTGAATTGACTCTTTTTTAATCCAGTCCTTTGAACCAGAATGTGACTTCGGTGTGGCTTCCAGCCGCTTTTGGGACATGCATCATGTAAACACCACACCCCCAAAGCATCTGGAAGCCACTTTATTTGGCCCATGTGTTATGGGCCATAGAGTTACCCAAAGGGCCATCAAATCCAGTACCCTGCCATACAGGAATACACAATCAAAGCACTCCCAGCAGATGGCCATCCAGGCTCTGTTTTAAAACCTCCAAAGAAGGAGCCTCTACTATTCTCCAAGATAGTGTGTTCTGCTGTCAGACAGCTCTTACTGTCAGGAAGTTCTCCCTAATGGTTAGGTGGAATCTCTTTTCCCATGGCATTATACTGTTCAGTTCCCATGCATACAAATGTCTCCATGCTGTTCAATGAAACATTGTAATAGAGCCTAAGTCAACTTGAATCCCTCTAGCTTGTTTTGCCAATGACTGAGCTTTGTGGATATACATTAAGAAAGGCATCCCTGCCTCTTTATATCCATCTATTTGACAACATGTGGAGAAAATTATAGGGCCATCAACCTTCACCTTAAAATTAGAGGTGTAATAATACAGTTTTCGACTTAACCAAAAGTTAACACCACCATATTCACTTACAGGAACGGTTAACCAATTTTAATTTTAGGTAAGGTTAAGAGTTTTTATATCTAACTTATTTTCTGGCGTATAAGACTACTTTTAAACCTGCAAAATCTGAGGTTAAAGTGGGGGGGTCGTCTT